ATTTTTCTATTGAGCTCCATTCAGACATAGTGAGAATTTTACAAATAAAAATTGGAATTTTTTTTCTCTCTTATTTTGGTATTTTTTAATCAGAAACTACTGCAAAAACAGAAGTATTCTCATATTTTATGCCAGAAATAAGATTTAAAAAAAAAAAAGAATAATTTCTTGGAATGACTGCTTCCAGTCCTGTAGCCATGACTAAGTCATACTTCATACTTAGTCATGGTATTTTTTTTCCCACCCTGTCTCTGTCATAATTCTGGACTCACTTTGTCTTGTTTATGATTAATCTTGTCTTTTCTCCTCGTCTGGTTTCCATGTTGTTTCTCTCTCTGCGTTAACACAAGTTTAAACATCCTATCAAAACCAATTGTGTCTGACTGCAGCAGGGTCTAAATTCAAACAACACAGTAGGAAGTTAAATGCAGACGTTTATAGGAAAATGGCTCGGCGTTCATTCCCACAAGGCATCAAATTTAGGCTCCAAACAACATAATGATAGAATTTTACTGCACTATATTCTGACTATAAATATCCTGATGCCTGAACGTGGTTTTTAATGTAATTTTCTCCTTTCTCTTTGTCTCCATGAATCCAGGAGGACTGTTTTAAAGTGAGCGCTGTAAAAACATACAAACGACGCCTCTGCTCCACATCTGTCTCCTACATCTGAACACATCACTGCCAATGCATAGACTAATGTCTTCTGCAGAACCTCTACGTGAATGGGCGTGTTGGTCTGTGTGTGTGTGTGTCTGTGTGTGTGTGTGCGGTGGAGGAGTTCCTGAGGTTGAGTGATCGCACCACCATAAACACCGAGAGCAGCAACAAGAATTTTAATTTCCAGTGGACTTTCCATTTAAATCATCACCTCCCGGTTTATTAGAAGGAATTTATGACCTGAGATATCACAGACTCTCCTCGCACTGCAGCGACCTGCAGGCGTCCGGGGCCTCGGCAGCGAACCGCACCTTTGTCTTTGCACATCTAACGCATTCCTGAGACTCCTGAGGTGGCACGTTATTAGGGAATCAAAAAGCTCCTACACGTTTATTCTGTGACACTGATGTATGAATGACTGTGAGGCATCAACATGAATGGGCGGGGGTGGCAGGGGGAGCGGGAGGCACACAGCGAGGGTGGGGGCTTGTGAACTTGAAAGAATAATTACCCACGGGCCTCACGTTCAACCCCTGTCTCGTCAAAAAAATAAAATACAGGGATTAAACAGGAACGGCGCAGGGTTCCATTCCGTCATCACTCATCCTGTATCTGCTCTGTGAATTCTAGTAATTCACGGTCGACGTAAAGATGGGAAAGATGACGCCCTGTTTTTACATCGCAGAAATACGGCCTGGTTTTTTGCACATGGATTCAGTTAAGCTATGAAAACACGCAGGGTTTCACTTTATCTCTCTCAGCCTTTCAGGGCTAATTTAATATTGAACTCCAGCTCTCAGCTCGCAGACACGTTCCAAGACAATCGGGAAGCATATAATTTTCCCAGGCAGCGCTCGCCTCGGAGTCGACGGGAGAAGTGAAGTGAACAAAGATGGGCAGAGAAAGGAGAGGAAAGATGGTCTTTAAACTCTTCATATGAGTGCGAGTGTCATGATTCTCCACACAGATCCATTCACAGACGGAGAAGTCGGTGCATTAGACCTGAGGAGAGAATATCTGAGAAAGAGAGGGAATAAAGCTGGAGAAAAAAAAAATAAAACACAGAGGAGAGAGATGTGAAACCCAGAGAGAAGTATGACGCTGCCTCTGGATTATTGTAATTTCCAAAACCTTTTTCTTTTTTCTTCATGGAAAAAAATACTGCATACATTCCTGAACTGCTTATTAAGCATGTCTAACTGCATAAGAGACTGAAAGAAAGAAAGGAAGAGAGAAAGAAAGAAAGAAAGAAAGAAAGAAAGAAGGAAAGAAAGAAAGAAGGAAAGAAAGAAAGAAAGAGGAGGATGATGGATCAAAGGAAGAAAGAAAGTATAGGAAAAATGGTATGCCAACTACAGAAACAAGAAAATAAGGAAGAACGAAGGAGGAAAGGGAGGAAGGAAGGAAGGAAGGGTGGAGGAGTATGAAAAGGTAGGAGAAAAGGAGGAAGAAAGGACAGAAACAGAAGAAACAAAGGATGGGGGGGATGGGGGGGATGGGGGGATCAGACAAATTGTAAAAGAAAAATGAAAATGAATGATCAGGGAAGAAAGGGAAAAGAAAGAAGGATAAAGAAAAAAAAAAAGAAAAATGAAAATGAATGAGGAAGGAAAGAAAATGAAAGATTAGGGATAAAAAAGATAGGGACAGTGTTGTGGTCTCTGTCTGTCTGTCTGTCTGTCTGGAGGTGACGCAGCATCAACTCCTCCCTCCTTCTGTCCAGCCACTGCTGCTGCTGCTGCTGCTACTGCTGCTGCTGCTGAAGCTCCCTGCGCAAAAACAACAAATTACAGTCTTAAAACCACAGCAGAAAAGTTCCCCGGCTGCGTGAGCTCCAGGCTCCTGCAGACGATCGTTTTTCCCACTGCACAGATGAAACGACCACGTATGATCTGTGCCTTTGTTTTGCACACACTCACAGTCAGTGCTGACGTCTTCTTCAGTCACTTTCACTCAAATGTGATTCAGACCCAGTCTGGATCACATTTACTGTTGGTTGGGAAAACCGCGGCCTGTTTAGTTGAACACAGTGCTGATTTACTTGAAGGAATCGAAGAAAGACGCACGTGAAAATCTCCTTCACCGCTCAAGGTCTCTCGCTTTGATGATAAATATGGACTTTTACTCTGAAAGGTTTTTTTTTTCTTTAAGGATGAGTGATGACGGAGGAGGAACGAAGCAGGTGAATTAGTAAATAAACACAAACTCGTCAGAGCTGAGGGAAGTCTCTTGGTTAAATAAACCATCAGAGACACGTCACTGCGCAGCTACTGTTTCTGGACAGAATCGGGGGGGTGGACGGGGGAGGACGGCGATCATGGCATGACGTGCTTGCGTTTACCGTCAGGTTCACAGCAGGAAACCACATTCCCAAATACGCCTACCATCAATGTGCGACCACATACCACACAAAGTGAGAAAGAGCGACATATGAAAGAGGTCAGACTGCTGCTGCTGCTGCTGCTGCTGCTGCTGCTGCTGAGGCAGACTCTGGGAGTAAATGACATAATCACTGGCT